CCACATCTACACACCCACACTCACACACGCCCACACCCACACCCACACCCACACCCCACACACCCACACCCCACACACCCACACCCACACACCCACACCCACACCCCACACCCAGCCACACACCCACACCCACACACCCACACCCTTCAACTTATATAAATTGCATTATTATTTTATGTTTTCCACTTACCTAATGTTATTGTAGCAATTCTATTTGCCTGTAGTGTTCTATGGAATTATGTGAAATATTTCATTGCTTATGCACAATTTTTCTCTTATTATATCAATTTTCTAATGCTATTTGTCTGTGCTGAAACTTTATCTCATCTTCGAAACAAAATTAAAAATATATTACAATTACGGTTATGTCATATAAGTGTTGCTGCTGTATCAAATTACAATACTATGACATTTCAAGGAACTAATCAATCGATTGCTTTATCAAGAGCTATTCATTGAATAGCACACCATTTTCAATCGACAAAGATATGACAAAATAAAATCCTCTGTGTCTATTGTACTGATGTTGTCTGTTTCTAAAATAATGAAACGTAACCATCATGTCTTGCATTCATTACAATATTAATCAAGCTTTTATTTATTTTCAAAATAACTATTTCAATTAATTAAAAATTGTTTTCATTTGTTTTCTACGTTCTATATTGTAAATCATTCGATATTACAAACTTACAAAATGACAAAGTTTGATTCGTGTATAGTCTTCACATTTCAAAATTTACTTATCTTGTTGAATGATTCGTATCATAGGATAATATTGAAAATTTTCTTTACTTTTTAACTAAAACCTCGCGGATTTTGGCAGTGTAATGATTGCTACGCAGTAGCCTTGATACTTATCAAGCTGATTTTTACATGTGTTGTGTTATCTTATGGTATCAAAAAAAAAAATGATTTACATCCTGTACTCATAAAACCAATATCGATCGAGAAGATGTTATAAATGTAAATTTGTGTGCGAACGTAAGACTTTCATCTCTCTTGACTCATTCTACATCTACATCCTGGTCTTTCTTAGAATATTGTTGTTGCAAAAAAGTACACAATAGAGATATCTCTTAATAACTGATAAAAATTATTTTAATTGTTTTACTTTTGTTTGTGATTGTAATTGATAAGTAATTCTATCCATCATACAGAGTCAGATATGAGCGTTGGTTTGGTTGTTCTCTATATTCACTCGCACATTCTAAGAAGATAATAAGCATAGAGGTAGTAAATTTTCAAAAAACTCTTGAATATATTCTATAATTCCATGGCATGCGTTGTGTAATAAAAACAAATTCTATCGTTGAGACCATACATGTAGAGAAAATATCAAACATGGTAAATTTTTTCTAGTTGTACATGCTTTAAATTTCAATGTTTCACGTTTATTGATGATCATTTTCTCAAGGAATCCTGTAGCAATAAGTCGTCGGATACTCAGTTGCGATACTTCATTCATAGAAAAATGATTCTTTACTTAATCATCGTTGAACTCGACCGAACTCGGTCCAAACTCGCTTCCTCTGAACTCGAATCCGACTCGAACTCGAACTCGACTGAACTCGAGCCTCTCAACTCGAAGTCGCCTCGAACTCGAACCGTCGAGTTTGAACTCGACTCGAATTCGAACTTTTGAGTTTGAGCTCGATCGAGTTCGAGTTTATATGTTCTAGTTCGAGTTGAATTCGAGTTTCAAACTCGAGTCCAGACTTCGAGTCGAGTTCACTTTTGTCGAGTTCAAACATTTCGTGTTTGGTCCATGTATCATTGCAGGACTAATTACTATTTTCAATTGAGTTAATGATAGTCATGATCAACAAATATATTTTCAGATCCATTCGAATTTGTATCATCTTAATATTGATGAAAAGAAATAGGCATCCGTTCTGTAAGTGTTTCACTCCATTGAATATATTAAAATAACAACATAAATCTCTTTCTTCTTGTAGAAAGCATTTGATCAAGAAATACACAAGGGTTAGAAAAAAGGTGGCTCTTCACGTCAGACCTAAGTGAGAAGACAACAGTATCTTCAATGATTATATGTCATCTAATGTCTGTCACAAGAAGTCACATGAGGAGAAAAAAAAGCTACACAAAGTGATTCGTAGAGAGTTGATGACAATTTGACTAATTGCTATTCTTTCCAATTCTTAAATTTCAAATGAATAATGAGAAAAACTCCTTCTCGTTATTTTTCTTATAGAATGTTTATCATTCTGTATAAATCAGTTTAAAGTTTTGCTTCTTCGATCATTATCACGTTGAAACAATAAAAATACGAACAGCTTAGGCGGCGTCACCAGGATTTTGACGGTGGTGGATGGTGGCGGGGCTCGGCTACTTAAATTTCGTACGGTGGGAAACTCGCAATAGGGTTTAGCTGGAGCGACCTTGTTGGGTGGGGCCTCAAAGCTTCGGCGGGGGAGGGAAGGGCTGAGCTCCTCCTGACTCCCTCTGGTGCCGCCACTAGAACAGGCCCGAAAAAGTCAATGGAACAGTATGATGATATCAATTCGAACCAAAAATAACAAAAAGAATTTCGACAAAATAAAACTTCGAAGAATTGAAACCAAGAAAAGCCAATCTTTCCGGAAAGTCAATTATCCAAAGAATGCACCATATTATATCACTCTAGGAATCAGACTGTTTAGAAATGTGCTTGAAACTTTTTTTACGAAATTTATGACAATAAAGTCAAAAACAAGACAAGATGCACAATATCTCACTTTTTCATCAAACTAACAGAGAAACTTTTTTTTATAAGCTACCAGAGACATATTTTATTTTAGTCTAAGCTGATCATAGAATCAGAGAACATCTTTCAAGATTCTCATTTCGAAAATTTCGTATTCGAAACCAGCAGTTTTTGCTTTTTCGAGATTTGAAGAGAAATTTTTTATGAAAATATCGATCCAATCACATTCTGCTTCAAACTATCGATCACGAAAATGACATGAATTACTCTTATAATGGTTTTGATGCATGAAAATTTTTTTCCCAACATTGACATTATTGAAAGGCGACGTTTTTTGATAAAAATCTTAAAGTTTCTTAAGACTGTAACGATAAAATGCAGATAACGCATTACGCTTATTCCATTTTCTGCAAGTGTTACTTGCAAGAGACATAAGTTTCATGTCGAATACATTGCTTCTTTAAAAACTTGAACTTGCCAGTGTCAACAATAGTACTTCATTCTACAAAGATACCGCTTTTCTGTTAGCAAAATACAATAAGTCTGTCATGATGTACAATAAGTATCCTATCGTAGAATCTATTGAATAGTAGAAGTCTAACACGAAATAGCAAAAAAATAAGCAGAATTACGATGGTGGAAGTCAACTTTTGTCTATTTATTAGATACAATATTATACAAACAGACGAGAAGCACGAAGAAAGACAACTTTACGACACAGTTCATGAGTTTTGATTTAATTAGATGTAGTATCTGCTGAGTTTTGAAACAAAATAGAATAATCATTCACATAGTAGAAGTTCATAAACTTACTATACTTCTTAGTAATTCTGTATTTCAGAGATACAGAAAAACGCTTTTCTCTATTAATACATTCTCCTAATTTTTGAGACTTTGACCAATATATTTCAATATGTAAATATATCAGTGAAATATATTTGTTCTTATCCTTACAACTGCATACAGTATATCTCTTATGATCGTTTATAACAATATCACAATGGTGAGCTCATCAATGAGTACAATAGAATTAAAAAGTAAGCCGATGACTTTTCATAACTAAAATGAAAAACTATTAATAGTTGATGTTTCTTTATATTTAAGACATGTTATTAACCTAACAATGACATTTACCATCTAGTCAGTTTATTGAATAAATGAAAACAACAATAGATTCATAATGAAAATGAAAATGAAGGAAAATAATCATAGAAATTATTTGAATGTACCAATGATCCGACTACAAATAATTGTTTGATCTTGGCACAATTATGACGTGTTTCTTCTCTTGTGAAGTTCTTTGTTACAATATTCAGGTGAATATCCATGACTCCCAATTGAGTTAAGCAAGGTACATATGCCTTTGTTTCATTTAAAAACTGGTCAAGATAATCTTCATGAGCATATTTCACATCAAGTGAAGTAAGATGAGGATATTTGACAATCGAATATAATTGATTTTTGTCGGATGAACATGTAAGAAGATCATGTAATAATAGCTGTGATTCGATATTAAAAATACGTAAATGCTTCAATAATGGAAATGATCGAGCAATTCGAATAAAGAATTCATGTTTGAATGCATCATTATCTTGTACAAGTAAATACGTAACATAACTAAATACAAGATTTGGAAATTTATTGCCAAGATCTTCGAGATAATCAAATGCAAAAGGAATTGAAAAAATAGAACATGCAACTTTGTTCATACAAATATAATTGACGATACTAGCCACATTTTCTTCAGCGATATTTTTTAATGTTTGTTGAATATGTTCATTAGATAATTTATAGGATAAACCACTGGTATCGACATAAGTATAAATATAGAAAGTGAATGAATGAAGTTGTGGCATATACACAAGAATATCATTTTGAATATAGGTACCATCGATAGGTTTATTTCGACCTTTTATAGGAAGATATAAAGTTAATTTTTCCAGATATAACATACGACGAAGAAGAAATACTATTTTATCATATTGTTCAAATCGAGAAAAAGATTTTAATGAGAAACATTTTAGATTAGGTAAATTATCCTACAAAAAAAAAAAAAATTTCTTCATTAATCTGAAAGATTGAATGATACGCATCATTATTTGACATAGTATTTATATTCTATATTGTTTTCTTCGAATTATATATTCTGTCTATTAAGCATTATAAATGATAAATCGATCAATTCGATTTTGCAATTTTAGAGCATAAGGAACAGGAATTATTGAGGGAACAATAGAAAACTTATAGACAAAATTTCAATCGTATATATTCAATTATCAGAAAGATTAGCCCATTAGGAAAAAATTCATTCCATTCAATGTTTATGATCATTATATATCAAAAGATTTAATCAATGAATCAATGACAAAATAAAGAAATCTCTTTTGCACTCTAATACTTATCTGATAAAACATTATATAATTATTTATATGGTGAAACTTCTTGAATAGTAGATTCTCAGAAATAATCATTTATCATTTTGATTGAACATAATTATGATGACTAATATATGATGATCACATTGATCATCGCTGATTCATTGATACTATTGATTTATCTGTTTAACTAAGTTCTTATTCAATATTTTTCATCATTAATTAGTATTATTTTATATTAATAGTTGAAAATTCTCATTATCTATTTCATATTTACATTGTTGTAAAACGTCTAATCTTGACAGTTCCTCTTCCACTAATTCGTAGAAATTACTGTAAAATATACATTTTTTCATAAGTACTACTATTTCTGTGTAGTTATTCTCTACAGTTACATGGCGAACTAAATCAATCAATGAATCAATCTATCGTCTTGGTATCTCATTTTGATTGAAATAAGTTTCTTGTTTTTCTTATCAAGACAGCCTTGGATTTTTACATAAAAATCAGTACAATATTTGCATGTAAAAAATATACAGGCTACAACAGGCAGGTCCAAAAAATGACAGGTAGGTAGATCAGACCGAGAAGAAAACATGAAAGTCACAGATAGACTGAACAGTTCTGCAACCTATCATTGACAGATCAAGTTTATGAAAGATAAGACTCTTTGGTTTGGGCATTTGATATGCATCAATACGTATTCGGATCTCTTCGAAGTCCATACAAAATCGAATCACACGATATTTTATTATAATATTTGAAAATAAATGAAAAGTGCGTCAAAGTAGTGATTATCTTTATCTTATAGGTGACATTATTTGTGAAAACTTACTATGTTGTGAACAATTGATAAAGATTTGTCTATGGAATAAACAGTAACAATAAATGTTGTCAATTGTTTAAGTCGACCATCAAGTACATAAAGACAATCATCAAAAGTATTGACATTGATACATAAATGAGTAAGAATCGAAGAGAAAAAAGTAGCTGATGGTAAATGACAGAGTGATAAACTTGGATATGGCATACCCGATGGTTCAATAATACTGAAATGTTTTAGATTTTTGCAGAAATTCAAGATATGTGCATATACATTTCTAGTATAATCTTTTAATGAATCTATCATGTCGTGTTTATCATTATTGACAAGAATCAGAGTTGTAATTTGTTCTTGGAAAATAAATCGAAATGATCAGTCATCTAAAGAAAAAAAAACCCATGAGACTTATTATAGTCTGTTCTATATAACACTTCTTTTATTCTTTAACTGATCAGATGGATATAAAGCACTTACTTGTAAGATAATTCAAAACAATTTCTCGTTCGAAGTTGACAAGTTTAAGTTCAGTTAGATTTGAATAGTCGATGGCAAGAAGAATACGTTCCATCAAAACCGGTTCGACAATGATATATTTCACATTATGATGAATTCGTAGTAATATATCGGTACAGAATCGATCAATTGAAGGAATATTATCAATGGTTCCAAAGTTGAGAATGCTTGTGAAAGTTTTTGATTATGCCAGATTGTTAAGTCGTCCATCATTACCATCCGATAATGAATAAAGAACATCAATATTGTTTAATTTTTTCAAAATGATAAGTAATAATTCATCAGGTAGATCGAGAAGATGAACATTAGATCGACTCATATTTTATTATATGACGCGACACTTTTGTCAAACGATATATATATGATCATTGTTTGCTTTCGACTACTTTCGTCATTGTGAAATAGAATAGGTCAACTCATGAACAAAAATTAAGGGTACCTCCCCCCCCCTCTTTTTTGACACTTGCTAGTTCTCGAAGACGGTACAACCAATCAAGCTGAAATTTTTAGCACACAGAGAGCACTAAAAATAAAGAGATATGTGTTCGAGGAAAAAAAATTTAAAAGAAGTGTTGTGGGGTTTTTCAGGAAAACTCTGGTTTTCCAGAGGTCCGCATCCTGACACATTACGACCCCCCTTAAAGCTTGTCCAATTGGGCTGAAATTTTGTTTATAGATGTCTAACACTATTCCTCAGAGGTAAATTTAAGGATTTCCAAAAATCTCACTTTCTTTTTTTTTTATAAGAGAAATACGCCAAGATTTGAGTTTGTGCTTCGGGTCTTGACTTTTGCGACCCTGTAACTCCGAGTAGAAACATCAAAAATGAAAACACTTTATTTTACCTCTGGAGAATACTTCAAAGTATTAGTGGTAAAATTTTCAGCTCGATCGGACAAACTTTAAGAGGGGTCGTAATGTGTCAAGATTCAGAAAATCGCTGTTTTACAAAACGCTAAGTAAAAGAAAAAAATTTACATACGATTACTATGAAAAAAAATTTTTCTCGATCTAATAACTACGTAAAAGTAAAATATTTAGACTCGAATAATGTCTCTAGTTGCATGTGGCACTTCAGGCTATCGTATCTTAGGTTCAGCTCGAAATCGAGTTTTTGGTCACTAAAGAGGGGGGGTACCCTTAAACATTGATATACCGTCCATTTACATCATAGTCATTGGATGCTCTTTTTCTTCCGTCAATTTTGAATATATATATATAAACTCATTTCATTCTGTTCATTTGAACGTAAACTGAAGAAATTTCATTAAGAAAAAAAGAAATATGATTGTTATATGAAAGCTCATTCAATTTCATTCGTATAATATCTCTTTTACAGGCGATATATTTTTCGTTTAAATCAAATTTGAGATTCTTTCAAAAAGATAGTTCTTTTGATTGACTTGTATCTTTTATTACTATTATTTCTTTTAGCCACAACAAAATTTGACTACATAGTTCAACAAAAGTATAAAGGTCTTTATTTGATACAAGTATATGTATTGGTTTGTGAATTTGATGTTTCCTATTGATTTGAAAACGTTGTTGAACCGTATGATATGTAATCAAAATATGTAGTTGAGCATTTATTTTTTTATTATCATTTACAGCATCTAAAAAGATAATATATTAAAACATTGCTAGGTCAACGTTAGTGACGATGTTATAATAGAATATAAAGGGGTCTTACCTTGATGGCCAAAGGTAACTTGATCAGCTAAGGAGGGGATGTGAGATCAGTTCAACTGGATAATTTATTTCATGAAGACAAAATAACACACACACAGGAGAGGTAGTAATAAATGCTACTGCTCTGCATCAAAACAAAATAGCAACTGAACGATATCAAAATCAGAAAAAATTCTAAAGAGAGAGATAGACAGAACGAAACAGAGAAATCTTACTATTGAACGAACGAAAGAGAAAAATCCAATTAACTATAGAACGAAAAGGAAGACGTCGACATAGTGTCATCTGTTGACGCTAACAAACATGGATGTCTTTTGATGAATGTTCTTACTCAATTGTTCGTATAACGATTTTATTTCATCATTACATTTCTCCTGTAGAAGATACAATTTGTCGACCTCTTCTTTAAGTATCTGTATCATTTTTTTTAAATTTCAATTACTTCAGTATTTTTTGCATTGAGCTCCATAAGTCGATTAATCTAAACAACAACAACAACAAAAAATATCGTTTTATGGTGTTATTATTGTATTACATTCTCGTGAAGTGTTTCAGCACTTGTTGCCATGTTATGAAGCTAATAGACGAATGAATTTGAATAATACCTAGATGAATGTGCGGATAGTATTATTTGTTTCTGTATATATAGATAGACATATAGAGAGATATAGATATATTTTTCTTATCTGTTTCTTCGATCACGTGCATGTTTTCATTTTCTCCTTTATCTTGTATGCTACCCTATGTAATCAAAATCGACGATATATCGGGTCGATTAACTGTGACATCATATCGTTATTTAATCGGCCAAATTGCCGATTTTCGTCTATTTATTTGCAAAATTACGATCCTTTGGATTTTCAGCAATCGAAAGAGGGAGTATCAGAATGTCGTTTTCTTCGATACTATATAAGGCGAAATCATTTCAAATTCTCTCGTTTCAGCAAGATATGGAAAAAATTCATGAAAATGTTTTACTTTTTCGATGAAATTCTAGTCTTGCTATGTGCTATTGATAATGAAAGTTCAGGCCTATAATTCAAGATATAATTCGAATAACTATCTTCCATGTTCTCCTCGAACGAAACTGATAAAATCCTCTATTTGTTCGTTCGAAAACTATAGATTTATTGTAGTTGTAAAGCAACTTTATTTACTTTTTATCAAATTGAATAATTTATTGTTATTGGATGATTTTCACGTCTTAGTTGATCTTAAATTGATGCATAAACATCATCAAATATATCACATAATCGACATGGTGGATTACGTTCTTTAATAAATTTCTGAAATGACACTGAATCAAGTACACGTAACATAAATTCATCATTCATCAATCGATGGTGAGGGTGTGGGTGTGGGGTGTGGGGTGTGACTTAAAAGAAAACAACACCCACATCCACACGCACATCCACACCCACATCCCACCCATACCCAACACCCACCCACACCCACACTCAATCAATCCCAAGCCAAGCCAAGCTAAGCCAACCCATACCATACCCTTCTTGAAATCATCCTTCACTTGAGGCGCAGTCAAATTTGAATTTCCTGGAAAGCGGAATTTACCATGCTCTCATACTCACACACACCCACATTCACAGACACCCACACACACTCATACTCCGTCTTTTATAGGATCATGAGCACCATTTATTATATTGATTACATTTTACAATTGGTTTAGTGGAAATTTTTTAAAAATAATGTCACCTATATATCGAGCACCATATTTCGTTGTGTGCCAACCATCATATGAAATCAGTTTCCCTTCTGGAGTGAAAACAGGGCATGTACCGTTGTATCGGTTACAAGTCATACTCAATACATCGACAAATATTGATCTCTTCAAAGTTCGCTTCATTATTGTATTCACTTTCACAAAATCTTCTTCTGGGTGTTGCAATTGTTGTATGCGATATTCATACGATTTGTTCATATATAATGTAAGGTTCACTTTACCGAAGTTCTTCACTCCTAAAACAAACAATTTTTGGCTCTGTGTTAGATTTAGTAATTCTATTGTTTTCGGCAATCGTGTCGCACTCCATTCAAACCAGCAACCTGTTAGTATGATGATATTCGCCTGGCGGATAAGTGGCAATGCAAATCTAATATCGTTAACATCGATGCAAAGTTGCCTATGTGCCGGAGAAATCCATTGTAGTCTATCCTCTGGACCCATATAAATTTGGCAATAGACTCTAACATAATGGCAACGTATTTCGTAGTCAATTAGGCTGCGTGTATCCACGACCATGTTTAAAAAGTCTTGTGCAAAGCTATCACCAATGAGTATAATTCTTCTATTCGTCATTGCTGATTGATTTGAAAACGCTGGGTACTTTCTCATGTGATTGTCAAACCTACGAGTAACATAGTTTGAGAGTTCGATGGGTTCGATATCATGCAAATATGTATCTACTTCTTTGCTCATTATTACATATCGATTATTGGTGGTGCGAATGAGGAACAATGCCACAACAAGCATTAAAAGTGTACCTATTCCTGAAATAGAGAATATCTGCTTCTGGGAAAAGAGAGCCCGATTGCGGAATGGTTGTTCGACAAAGAAATAGCTGAGTGTAGCAAGCAGCAAAACGGTAACAACAATGAAATTAATATGCGAGACATTTTGAATTTCAATTGATTGTAGACGAAGATATACCAATAAAGGTTGATGCCAAAGGTAGGCGCTATAAGAGATTAGACCCACCCAACATAATGGTCTTACAGATAACAAACGTCCGACTAATGTGTCATGTTCTCCGAAGATAATAATCAAAGCTGCTCCTAATGTAGGCACCAATGTATAGCAGTTAGGAAATGTAGGTATGAAACGATTGTCAAGAAATAGGACGGATACTGTAATCATCAAGAGTCCGAGTAAAGAAAAAAGTTGTTTCCATAATCTGGGCAATTTTCTAGAGCTGAAAAGTATACGCGACACATTTAATAATGTGCAATTCATACAACTTGAAAATAGTTGTACTTTTCCTGCATTA